CCTTCTTCTCACAATTAATTTGGTTATTTTTTTCTAAACTGTCATTTGGAACCCACTTCTCTTTTTTCTGAAAGAAAAACATTACTAAAATCTTTTAGAAAAACTGTTCAGTGATTTGTAGACATACATGAGTATTTTGAACTGGATTTGAAAGTGAACCGGTAACCAGTGCAGTGAGGCCAAAACTGGTGTAATGTGCTCTCTTTTGCCTGTACTGGTTAAAAATCGGGCTGCTGCATTCTGGACCAGTTGTAGTCGTGCTATGGAGGTTTGACTGATACCAAACCGGAGCGAATTGCAGTACTCAAGCCTAGATGTAATGAATGCATGTATTACGGTCTCCAGGTTATTGTTGGACAATATGGTCTTCAGTTTAGACAGCCGCCTCAGTTGGAAGAAACATGATTTTCAGAGAAGGGTCCATTATCACTCCCAGATTAGTGACTCTTTATTTTTCTGACAGGGTTAGAGCGGAGAGGTCGATACAGTGGTTAGTGATCGTGTCATTGAGAGGGAAGAACATGACTTCAGACTTCTTTTCATTGAAACTTAAGAAGTTTAAAGCCATCTAGTCCCTGATGTCAGCCAGGCAGTCGAGCAGAGGTTGAATAGAGCATGTGCCATTGTGTCTTAGTGGGAAGTAAATTTGACAGTCATCGGCGTAGAAGTGGAAGGTCATGTTGTGTTTCCGGAAAATAGCACAAGACCCCTGCGGAAACCCTCATTTAAGCTCTGCCGCTGCATAACTAAAATCCTTGATGGAGACACAAAAGGATCTGTCAGTGAGGTAAGATCTGAACTAACTGAGGGCTGACCCTGTGATGCCCTGTGATGCCCACCCACTGCTCTAACCTAGCAATGAGGATCTCATAGTTGATGGTGTCAAAGGCGGCTGTGAGGTCCAATAGGACAAGCAGCACAGAATCACCGGTATCAGTGGTTAAGAAAATGTCACTAAAGACCTTCAGTAGGGCAGTTTCAGTGCTATGGAGAGGTTTAAAGCCAGATTGGAATAGCTCTAAAATGGCGTGACCCTCCAGGAAGCACTTCAACTGGGACTTGACTATTTTCTCCTGTGGTTTAGAAACAAATGGGAGTTTGGAGACAGGCCGGAAGTTGGAAAAGACTGAGGGTTCAAGGTTTCTTTTTTTTCTGGAGAGGCTGGACAGCAGCATGTTTGAAGGCTGCCTGGTTGGGGTCTGGGCTGTGGGTGGGTATTGGGCCTTTGGGGGCGATTGGGAATGGGGCTGGTGCTCCAGTTCTCCCTGGATTATTTGGATCCTTTGATCGGGGTTCCTGGTTCCGATGGCCAGCCCTTTGGCTGGGGTGGCTGCCGGGTTCTGGCGGGAGGTCGGCTGTGGTTGTGTGTGTGTGGTCGTTGGTAGTGCGTGGCGGCAGTCTGGGGCGTGGCTTCACTTCGACGGAGTGCTGGCTGGTCGGCCTGATGTGACATTCACAGTGCGGGGTGCTGTGTGAGGGGGTGCATGGGTGGCATGCCGGGGCTTCTCCGGGCATGTGGTGTGGGGCTTTAGGGATGCATTGGTGCGCTGGGCTGGCCTTCCTCAGCTGCTGCTCCCTGCTGCTCTGGTCCCCGGCCTGGGGCCGGCTTGCAGTCACTGTTGGGTGGGTGTGGCGCATGGACGGGCCAACAGAGGCTCTGTCGGGCTGTCTCTGTGTGCCTGTTTGTCTCAGGTTGGGTTTTGGATGGCCCCCCCTCTCTTGGACCAGTTTTGGCCCCCCATTTGTTGGGTCGTGCTCCCCTCCGGTGGTGGGCCCCCCTGCCGCCGGTGCATTGGCAGTTCTGAGCAGCTGGGGCTGGGTGGTGGGGTGTGTGCGGGCCCACCCTGGTGGCTGCCTGCGGGGGCCTGGGTGCCCTGGCTCTGTCGGGCCTCTGTTGGGGGGTGGTATGACCTCGGGACTCAGGGCTTGGTGTCGAGGGGCAGGTTGCCGGCGTGGCCTGTTGACTCGTCGCTACAACCTCCTGGGGGTTTCTGCATTGTGGTTGCTGGGGATCGCCCGGGGCTTCCATTTGCTTCTCTCTCTGGGGGGTGCAGGTGTCCCTGTTGGGGGACTACTGGAGTTCCAGGCTTGGGGGCCGCTGTGTGTCTGTGGTTCCGGTCTTTCCTGTGTTGCCTTTGTGTCCTGTGGGGACGGGTTTATGGGTCCCCACGTCCACCATTGAACATTTTTATGGAGAAACCTTATAGTGATAAGCATGCTCACACAGGTGTTTAGATTCAGTTGTTTATCAGATACACACTCAGTTGGGTTGTGGTGGCCATCAAATACATATTGTATTACCATGTACTGTATAAAATACTTTCTAATGATGTTATAAGTATCATTATATAAGTTGTTTGTTGTTGTGGTTTCTTGGTTTTGTCGTTTTTTTTTTTTTTCTCTTTCCACAGGTCTAGAGGCAGACCAATGATGTTGATTTGTTTTCTCTTTATCCCTCTATCTCTCCTCTATTCCTATTTCCTTCTTTACATTTTAACTCTTCTCTCACTTTTCTGCTTTGTTATCTTCTTTGTTTTCCGCCCCCGTGTCCATTACATCTGAAACAAACCCAAAGCATATTCTAATACAATCTAATTTACATATCAAGTGGAGCATTAAGGCCAGCCATAATGCTCTGCTTGTGAAAGTAAATCTGTTGGGCATCACTTTGACACTCAGACAATAATTCTAATTGTCACAATGCCGGACAGGACAAGGGGAAAAAAAAAAAAAAAGATTAAATGAGTCCAATAAATCTAAAAAGTCCTTAACCAAGGGCTTCTCCTGACAGCACACGTGCAAATTAAAGTCCCCAAAAATGAAAACATGATCATATTTTGGTGTGATTTCAGCCAAGAAGTCAGAAAACTCATTTATGAAATCCTTAGACCGAGGTGGGCGGTAGACAAGTGCAAATAACATCGGAGGCAAATGGTCGAGTTCAAAGACACTCAGCTTAAAGCTGGCACAGGAAACTGGGATGGGCAGTTGTTTACAGTCAAAAGTTGATTTGAATATTGTTAATAGCTGATGGAACAATCTAGGGTGCACACTGGAGTCAAATGTTGATATAATCCTATTGGCTTTTTTTGGAGGTTAACAAAAGTCATTTATATCACTTTTTGAACAAATCAGATGACGCATGTTTGATTTACAGTCAACCGTATGCAAACGGTGGGAAATTGGAATTCTCCATTCAGCCACGCCCACATGCTTGAGCCAGCAGCCAGTGTCAAGAGATGGATTTTGCCTCATGTCATTAAACACAGATTTAAATCTGTATGAATCTTAGTGTAAATGGAAGAGAACCAGCAAGAAAACAGGTGACTTCCTGTTCAAAGGGGGCGGGGATAAGGTGACATCACATGAAACAACCATACCAGAACTGCTCACTCATGACACACAAAAATTCTGGTTCAAATTGGATGATGTGTCAGGGAGCT